TCCTAGCTCCACAAGGTTGTGAATAACTTGCACCAACTTGAAGCAAGTGTATTCTAATCAGCTCTGCATTTTGTTCCTCTTAAAAAACTGAAAACCTTTGGTTTCAGATTGCAAATTTATATATGCTATAGAGCAGGTAACTCAGTAACACTACAAAAGCATTGAGTGTTTCTTGTCCTGTAGCCCTGGCTGCTCTTCTCCAATCCCATTTCTTGCTCTAGCACAAGACTGTGCACAGACATAGTAAGAACTGATGCAGGTTAATGTGACGGGGAGGGGCTGAACCTGCTTCCCAAGCCACTTCAGCAGAAGGCAACACAAATGCTGACGCCGGCCAAAGAGGAGTGAAGGTACAGAGGGAGGAATGAGCAACCAGAAGTATCAATCAAAGGTGCTTCATTTGGGAGCATTGCTGGTCTAAAATGTACATGAAACTGCCTCTTCAATCCAGCTTCTGAAAAAAGATTATTTAAAATCCAGATGATGTACTAAACTAAATACACTGGTCTACAGAAAAAAACAGATTTTTACTCCTTTGATTTAATTATTGCTGATGTGTAGATTCTTAACATACTTATTAGCATGAACTAATCAAAAAGCATTTACTCATTCCATTTTCATGTTCCACAATTCAGAGAACTCCAACCTCCTCTGATTCAAAAATCAAGCTAAATAATGTATACAGACTGTAATATTCTCTTTGGAAATGGAGAAGTTCATTGCAGACTTGACTGACCAAACTGTGTCAGACATTATATACATATACACTCATACACTGCACGACTGTGTTGCAGAGCAGAACACTAAAAACTGGCAACTGAGCACGACCATAAAGAACAAATACTTTCCCAACTAGTTTGAAAACATACCTACCTCAGCTATCCCCCAAACACTTTTTGACTTGATTTATGTTCTGCTGCTTTAAAAGAAGAAATGGGTCAATATGAAATAATGCACATACTTGTAAAATGGATATTCATACCCAAAATAAACTTTCTCTTGGGAGAATATTTTTAAAACAGCATTTAAAGTCTCTTGGCAATGGTTAGCTAGAAAAGTTATTTATTTATTTATTTAGAATAAAAGTTCTCATAATTTTTTTATTAACATTTAGGATTCTGGGAGTAAACTTAGTAATACAAGTTTCTCCGAAGTTAATTTTCATTCCATACAACATTTAGTATTTATACATGCAGAGGAATGCATAGTATGCATTAATGCAGAGAAAATTATATTTAAGAAATGCATGGGCTACTTTACAAGAGATGATATGTATGCACAAACCATTCAACTAACTGCATGCTGTTGAGTTTAATAAGCCTAAAAACAAAAAAAATTACCTTGTCTGATTACACTTTTCCTCTTGCACCTACATTTCTAACATTTGGCATACAAGTATCAAAAATTTATGATTTGCACTTTCTCAACAGAAAGTGGAAGTATGAAACACTAAATAAATACTCTTTGCTCTCAAGACATGCAATAGTTCTGTTATACAGACTGTGAAATGGAAAAAATACTTAGAGGCTGACTATGGTTAGTGACTCCTAATTTTTTGATTAAATGTAAAGACCTCTTTGCAATGACACATTTGAAGCTTCATTTTAACTAATAGACTGAAGCCACCATTTTAGACCCAACCACAGATTTTTTTAAGGAAGTGGCAAACCATTGCTGCTAGTTAAGAAAATGAAAATTAGTCCCTGGGAGAGGATACAATCAATGGTGTGTTAATCTAACCTTCAGCTGTTAATGATTTGCACTACTATTTCCCCTGATGCTGTGGGTTCTGCTGAAATATTGTTTTAGCAGTTTCTGTCAACTTTCCCTACCTTTTTTCTTCCTGAAAGGGACAGACTGAAGTGAAAATCTTTGCAACAGATTTTTGCCTGTGCTATTTTTCCCCTCTTTTTTTGTCTGACCCAGTTCTTTCACACCATGGAAGCACGAGACAGAAGGGTAAAGTGTTGTGTTTTTTTCAGTTAGAGCCTTTTTAGCCAGTCTGTTATTCACAACTCCTCTTACTTACAAAAGAAGTGTTACACAAAACAGTCACCATTAGGATTGCAATATTAACATGAGATTAAATAATTTAGGAAGTCTGTAGTTTGCCTGCTTCTTTCACATTCACACAAAAAGCTAAAAGGGTTACAGGACTCTTCTTTGGAAAGAACTGCTGAGGAGGGTCTGGTATTTCCAGTCATGAGAGCTGTGCAAGCAACCTGGAAGAGACTTTTTGTGCTGGTGTAACAATAAATAGGTGTGCCCATCTTGGAGATTTGCCTGACCCTGCAACTTTCGAGACCTTAAGGATCATTCGGTTCACTCAGTTGAAACAATCTTGCAAAAGAAAACTGCATAGCCCACATGCCAAATTCTGCAGCAAAGGACTGAGTGCCAAAATAATAAAAGTACTCAGCACCTTGCAAAGATGCATTCCACACACACAACACCAGTTTTCTTAGCAAGCACTTCTTCCAGGAATGAGTGTATCTCAGTCGTTTCAGTATTCTTAAAATAAAGTCAAAAGGACTTGCAAAACCATTCAAACTTACTTTACATGTATCTCAGGCCCTTTGTTTAACTTAATCAGTTCTGAATATTTGAGTCTAATTGTGGGATTCACCTTCTCTGAACAGAGAGACATAATCTTCTCTCTCTCAGGTTTTTCCTGGAGAAGCACAGAGACCAAAACCAATTCTTATCTCATTTGCTGCTCCTGTGTTTTGGAACATGTGGAATGTGTTGGAAGATTATTTACCTGAAGGAATTTGCTTCACTGGATTCTAGTGTGAGAGTTTTGTTTTCTTGACCAATCTGTGCAAACTGTCACACTTGTAAGTGTGTCCTGACGGTCGGTCAGGAGACAGTCACAAGATTTAGTTCAGTGGAGTGCTTGTGCAGTTTCAGATGTAGTGTAATATAGCACAGAATAAATAGTATAATAAAGTAATAAATTAGCCTTCTTATGTCATGGAGTCAGATGCATCATTTCTCCCTGCTACACGGATTGCCTTGCTTCACAATAACAAATAAAGGTAAATATTCAGCATGGTAAGCCTGTCAAGTTTAAAGAATTTGGGTTAAGTTGAAGAAGCAACATTTGATCTATTTTAATGTTAGCTTCATACAGACTACAGTAACCCATTATCAGGGTTGTGTGCTGCTGCACACAAATCTAATTTGTTCATAAATACTACATTAATTCATAAAACATACTGAAAAGTTTAATGTTGCTCCTTCAAGATCATGCTCACAATTAATTAAGAATTATTTGAATATAGGTACACTGTCTGTATAATTAACTTCACTAAATTTTCAAACAACTTAGGCATAACTTTGTTTGAAGACATAACTTTATGGTTGAGTATTTCTCATATTGAAAGCTCATGGCTCTCATTTTCAGACATTTCAAGAGTTTTGGATCGTGTCTTTAAAAGGTTTCATAGGGGATATTTACAACTGATAATTAACATAATCTATCAGAATTTGTCTTTGTACCTAATAGATCTTGTCAAAGACTGTATTGATTAGAAACTTTAAAAAAATCAACAAAATGACAAATTATCAATAGATTACGAAGAGGGTGATTTACACATTTCACAAAATGAGCTCTACTAGCCAGAAGGGATAATTTTTTGTTGTTGTTCTTGCTATGTTCTTTTAATGTATTTGATCAAGAATCTAGTTTGAAAGAAAAGATTTTTAGTAAAATCTTCAGTGACATAAACCAGGGACTTTTAGGTAACAAAGACAACTTTTCATGGATTCAGGCTACTTCAGGAGGACCAAATGTATAATCCATGTATTTCTGTGTGGCCAAATATAAGAACATATTGCCTATGAATGAGGAATGTAAGCCACAGAATCCAAGAAAGTATTCAGGGATGAAAGACAGCTCAAAGGATCTGGGATATATAAAGGGAGGAACAACAAGTAGAAATAGAGAACAAATGACTTCATTATTTGGCACTGATGTAGTAATTTCTGAAATATGGAGTGCACTTGAGACATCAACACTAAGAAGGCTGAAAAACTGCAGAGGGTTCTGAAAAAAAGCTGGGGGAATAACAGAAAGGATTGCAAATACCATATAGTAAAATTCAAATAATAAAAGCTTTTCTTCTTATAATGAAGAGTTTATATATAATTTGAAGGTCACCTGCCAAGTCACACGTGGGGAATAGAAATGTAACCCCATTTGAAAAGAAAAGATGCAATAAAATCTATCATCTGGAAGCTCATATCATGCAAAGGCATATCTAAAACATGATATTACTTACAAGTGGCTAAAAGTCCTGGAAACCAGTTAGAGAAATTCATATAAATAATTAGCTGGATTTTTTCACTGGGATTCACAGTTAATCCACAGTGGCTATTTATTTAAAACACAACTTTATTCACCAAACTAATTCAGGTAAATCTTATGGCATTTACATTGGAGAGTGAATTATATGATCATGTTTGCAGCAATTCTCCCAGGAATTAAAATCCATTGAAGTCAAAGGTAAGATTATGACTGTCTTCAAAGCACTTTGGATCACATGCATATTCACAATTCTATTGATCTGGTTATATGCACCCAGTTTTATTTTTAAAGGTTAACAAAAACCAATAGACTTGGTTGGTTGGTTTTATTTTGTTATCTTTCCAAATTTTAAGGAAAAAAACCCCAGATTCTAAAATCTAGTCTAACATAAGATATAGTAAAGTTGAAGTCCCAGAAATAGCAAAAGGTGACAGCAAGATCAATATAGATTAATATAATTGATGATAAATTGGTAATGTGGAGCTGGAGAACACCCTGTAAGAATCATATTTAGCCTTACAGATTAGAAAGATTTTATACACAGCATTAATATTTAATTGCATAAAAAAAGGTCCAGTTGCCTTGTTTAATCATTTTGGATTAGCAATAACAACTTCAATACATAATTATATTTTCTTCCTTCTTAGTCATTAAAACCCAAACAACCTCAAGGCTGTACTCATATACTCACTCTGGTAGTCGGGACAGGATACCCAAGGAAAGAGAACTTATCCCATCATTGATCCGACCCGGCAGCTTGCGCTTCTGAATCCAGCTGACAGCAAACTCCAGCCCAATGAAAGTAATGAAGAATGGAATACTCTAAAATAGTTTGCAAAAACAACAACAACAAAAAAAAAGTCACAACAAAATAAAATTAGATACACTTTCTCAAACAGCATTTTATGCAGTGAGATGCTTCTCAGATCAGCTGGCACTTTAATAGCTACTGTAATAAAGCTCATAGCATGGACCTTACAAATCAGAACAACCAAGGCTACCATTTGATCCAAAACACCAGCATAAATCTATTGCAGTAACCTCCTCCCACAATGTTTTCTTTTGCACATTCTGCACATAATCTCAAACATTATCAGAACAAAACACAAAGGTCTTTCCAAACCTATATTTCTCATATTTAAGTAAATCAGCGAGAGCAGCAATATCAGTGAGAGCAGCAATATTTGTGGACTCCTCCAACCACAAAGTAGAACAGAATCTAGTTTGGATTTGATATTATATGAAGTTTTTTGAGTGTTTTCAGCCACTGAATTTGGTATCCAACATTATTATCTGAAAGAAATACTAAAGTGAGTTTCTTTCTACTTGGCATTTCTATTGCCATGCTTTTCACTGCAGACAACAACAGCTCTTCTATATGTGCTTTCATCAGTGAAGGAAACAATTACACAGCCCGTTCCAGTTTGGGCCATACATCATGTTCCCTTCCCAGACCTAGTGACAATGATACAATGTTTCCCTCTTGCTTTTGGATTAAACTGACTGCAAAATAGTTTTCTGCCCTTCTGCAGAAAAGTATAATGATGAACAAGACTGGAACATTTCACACTCACAACATTGCTTTAGTTTGGGATTCAATTCTCACAGTCCATCTTCTATCGCAAGAAAAGCTGAAAATGCACAGCAACAGCACCCATTAGTGAAAGGTGTAACTGGTGAGGACTCTCAGACCCATTCTCAATTTTTTATCATCCCAGGCAACAAGAAAAAGGCTTGAGTAGCAGTAAGTCCTAGAGCATATTTTTTTCTACTAACACTGGAGTCCTAACAGTCCCTGCACTTCACGTGTGGAAGGAATTCGGCAGTGGCAGTTTTAGCCATCGCCACCAAAATCTATAAGGCCTGTGGCGAGGAAAATGGGAAGGAGTTATCAGATCTCTGTGCAAGCAAATGTTCCTTCAACAGCCTCCCTTGCTCTGTAGAAAACTTTTAGGTGACCTTTGAGACATTTAGACATCTGCTTTTTGGTTATATTAAGGCATAAAATTCCCACCATGTTGCAGAGCAAGAGAAATGCCAGAGCAGTTCTGCACCACTCTGGGAGGCACCACACTGCCGTTCTTGCCCAGTAAGTTTTCTGCTGCTTCTGCTCCCTTCCAATGGCCTGCAAACACCGACAGCTTCAGTGCCTGGAACCCTCCAAACTGCACTGCTGTAGGAGAGAGGCTGCTCCTGCCCATACAACAGCTTAATAGGAGCATGTTGTCTCTGCAAATACCACTGTATTCTGGAGGGCGCTCATTTTTGTTGCCAAGTGAGATATGATCTGGGAATTCCTACTAGGCTGGGACACTAAAGAGACTAAGATGGATACAGACCAGATTGCTCAGTCCAAGAAGAATTGGATGATTCAAACCATGCAAACAGCAAAAGATTTATAGTGTCTAGAAAATGTGAAAGTTCATAAACTTCAGCAGCACAGGGTTAGGTTACAATAACAGATGAACAGAGATTAATATCAACATGACACTTTTTAATTTAGGTGCCTAGCTTACTCTGTAACAGCATTTTAGGCATCTAAAAGCCTATTTCTGATAGGCACCAACTGATGATATAAAAATCTAGAAAGAAAGGGAAGACCTTGGGTGCCTAAACAGCACCCAAGAAAACCAATGTGGCAAGTCTTTCAATATTTGGAATAAGTAGGAAACCATATAATAATAAAATATATTATAAAAGAGTAAGGAAACCCTAAAGCCTTCCATTTGAAAGCAATGAAACATACAAGGAAAATATAAATACTCCTTGTTTTGCTCTCTATATCTGTTTAATTTTTAAGTAGATACGACTTTTAACATACTTTTCCTAACTGACATAATCAAATAACAGATTCCTAACTTACCAAACAAAGTATGATGACCACAGCTGTACACTCCAGCAGAGAAAAGAGAGATTTAATATGAAAAACTACAAAACACTTAATGGCAATATTAAAAGGCAGTTCTAGCACAGATGACAAGCAGTTTTAAGGTGTGGAACAGCAGAAGCTGCAGAGCAAATTGAATGGGCTCAGAACAGAGAAACTGAGGTGTTTCATTCATGAAATAAAAACAGTTAATAGGAAATGTACACTGTCTGTATTCCATGTGATGATTCATTTTACCTAGCAACCTCTGAAACAGATGAAATACTTGATTTTATATTAATGTACATTATTACAACTTCTGCCTTATTGACTTCATTGCATATTTTCCTCCCACTGTGAAGCTGCAAAACAGCCAGGCAGTTGGTGCCACTTTTTGACTCATCAATGGGTGGTGTCATAGCAAGGAGGATAAAGAAACATCCAGACATCCTTAACCTCCTGCTCATCAAGGAGATTATAAAAGAAAAGATTTATGGCATACTCCTTAGTATCTAAGAAATTCCTACATCTCTCTCACATACCTACATTAAGCTTGGTCCAAAACAGACCAATGGGATCAACTACATCTAGGCTAGGATGTATTATTTATGTAGCTGTGACAGCTATTGTCATGGAGGATGAAAAGGCATTCCCTGGCCCAAACTGCCCACAGAGTAAGGATGAGGTGTAATGCAACAGAAGAAGAATGCAAATAATTCAGGCAAAAAGGAGACCGTAAGAGAGAAAATAGTCACTAGCCTAATCACTACCTTTCTTTTTTCCTGGTTTTTTTTTGGTTTAAGTTAAAAGAACAATGAAGACATTTAAGAAACCCATTGAGTTTAAGGAACCCATTTGTGCCAAACAAAATGGCACAAAATTAAGAAACAGCCACTGTTGACATCACAGGTCAGTGACATAAGACAGATCCTTTTGATATCTTCTGTCCATAAATGTTTTACTCTCTCTGTCTGTTTCCAGGTTTTTTCTCTTCACCCAAGAGCAGAAATACTCAATGGAGATTTGCATAAGCTTGTGGTTTAGCTGAATAACTGATCCATAACATGAAAGCCTTACCCTGAGTACTGTGTAAGAGGGTTCCATTTTAAGTAACCAACTCTACAGAATGCAAAGGACCATTTAAAATCAGTTTCCACGTTATACTGTTGCAAAGAATAATATTCTAGGTTGAAATTCAGCATATACTCATAGTTTTATTGCAATTCTTGAAACGGTTTTTGTTTCCTTAAAGTCCCAGATCTTTATAATATAAGAATCCCAACATTCAAGTAAAACTAAAAAAAAGTAAAACTATATATGAAGGTTCTGTGCCTCATTATTTAGAAGCAAACCCTAAAATCTCATTATTTAGAAGCAAACCCTAAAATGTGAATTGAGTTTAAATGTGAACTTTTTCTTTAGGGTCTCAAGAGAGTAAATTGAAAAGGAAAACAGTGATTACTAAAGCTTTCATTTTGGAGCTCTCAGCAGAAGGACTGTCTCTTCAGAAGTCTGACTCATGGAAGTCTTTACAGAGCACAGGTGATAATTTCAGACCATAGCAAGCTACAAAGTTACAAAGTAAATTTGTGGTTCACGAAAACTATGTTTGGCAAACAAAAAGAATCATTCCACCATCTGTAGATTGTAAGAGAACTAAGCAAGCAAACTAACAAAAAACAACTAACAGAGCATGCAGAGCCTAATCTTACACCCACAGAAAAGAGGATGCTCTTAAAATGAATAGACAAGCATTAGTACATCCTGTCCTGGATAAATGCAATTGACATACTTTTCAGATATACAGACAAATTTTGAATTCTACATGACAAAAAGTCTTAGAAAAATAAATTCTATGACAATTATCGAAGACCCACACCCCTTTTCCTAGAATTTTTGAGATATATATTGTCACCCTTTATTGAAAGGGTGACTTTTCCCTGGGCACTGCTGCAGAGCTTTGCTGCTTGTCGCTGTCAGCAGCTGATCAGCTAATGTTTTAAACAGGACTTGAGGCTCAGCTTATGTTTTAAACAGGACTTGAGGCCTCTCCACACAGCTCTGCCAACATACAGAGCAACAGTGCAAGGCCCATTGCTTCTGAAAACAGAAGTAATGTGACCAGAAAGTACACTGCACAAGTTAAGCCAAGTATTCTGTTCTCAGAACCAGAGCTGCTTCACCCATGCTGTCATTTCCCACCCAGATGTGACAGCACAGGTAACTCTAGCCCAAAGGTGCCTCTCCTGTGAAGTGCCTGTATTTTGTAAGCCAACAGCTCAATTCTGCAGATTGCTAGACCCATGAATATGTAGGGTGACTTTGGAGGTTCTGCCACCTGTCTAATGTTGGAAGGTGCCTATCCCCACAGCTGTAACCATGTCATCTAATGTCCTAGAAATACCTTTGTCCATCTGATACCCAAGAGATCACAGATCTGAGATGCAAATTCCACTAGAGTGTCTCAGAAAAAAAAAAAAAAAATCCCACTCCATTTAGAGACACTAATGTAATCAGTAGTTTGTTTCACACATATACATCAACATTATTGTCTTTTAGAGTGAATTATTTGAGCTGAGGCCTTCATTTGTTACCAGCTCTACACTAAAATTTTTTCTGTTCTGTGTTGAATTGAGTTCAGATATCCACTTGTGTGTCTGTACCAACTAAAGAACTTAGCACTCCCCAGACCTCCTCGAAAGGCTCATCAGGTCACTATTAAATCTACTGCTGATGAACCCAATGGACATACTATTCGTGTAATTGCTCCCTAAACAGTCAAGAATAGCAGCTGGAGAGGGAATAGATAGCTGCCACTTACCCATAAACACGGCCAGAAGGGGATGGATGAACTCTGCCTAAGCTCAGACCAAAGCCAAAGAGTTAAGACAGTTATGCCACTAAAATACTTTTATATGCCCACTGAGACAAGCATCAAAAGATCTGTTCTAGCAAAAAATGCACTGTCAGAAGGGAAATCCAGCACAGCTAACCTCAGATAGGAATTTAAGCAAAGCATAACAGTAATGGGAAACTTTTTCTTTAATGCTATTTTTTTTTGTGAGAAATATTCCTTTACAAGCTTATCCCAACACTGCTCTACAGAAGCAGGAGCCTACAGGTGCTTTCATAATTTAAAGTGTTAAGAATCCTTTCACCGACTTACAACTGTGTGCCTAGTAAAAGAAATTCGAGGTTTGGCTAACGTCTGACCTGAGTACTGCACACGGGAGAAGAAAGCCCAAGGATGTTAAGGTATGTTGCAGACAAGAAAGTATGCTCGTTGGAAATGTAGAAATGGTAAAAGGGACTGAGATATCAAAGAGAACTGGAAGGAGAGATCAGCTAACTAGGCATAACCATCGATCTTCGTTAATCATGACGCTGGAGCTTAGTTGCAAAACACCTCTGAGGACAGCAGTCCATTGACCAGACACTGCACACACAGGCTGGGCTTGCAGCAGCTTTCTGCTTACCTTACACAAAAGGGTTTACCTTTGCAGATAACACCCGTGAGTGAGGGACTGCTGCATACTACAATTCCCAGAAAGCTGCTGACAGCGCTGCACAGCCCATGGCACCCCCACTGCAGTCTGCCAGCACTGCGCTCCAAGGTAGACCTGTCAGAGGGGCTCATCAGAACTATCAAAACCCACGTAAAAAGTGCAGCTCTTCACTGAAGCTGGGCTGAATTCACCTTGACAAGGGCAAAATAGTGTTTATGTGCTGTCTCTGTGAGCAGCTGACATCGATCTGGGTTCAGAAGGAGCTGACAACCAAGATATGAGCAATAGGTAGGACAGAAGGGAGCAAAGGTATCTTCTTGGAAGTGAATAAACTGGCAGGGCGGGACGGGAGGATATGCTGCTGCCTGCTGACAAGGGAGTTCTCACCCACGACCTCTGTACTCTTGCCTTGGATATTTAGGACACAGCACTGTCCCAACACAAATATTTGTTCTAAATTCTCTTAAACAATCTTTATTTTTTATTTTAATTAGAAACCTTTTATTTTTCTGTCCTTGACTGAGCTTGACTTAAGGGCACAGAGAGACCTGACTTTTTGCTTGCTTTGAGAACCATAACAGCCAAACACAGTATCATATTTTCTTGTTTCCTCAGTTCAGTTTGCTGTCACTGTTCATCTCATCCGTGCTGCTGCATATAACACTAGCACCAGGAGAAATCATCACTTAAATACATGAAAATAGTGGGCACAGTTACACTGGCAGCTTACAGGCAGAAAACCTTTGAGGGAAAGACGGTTTTATCTTAATTTCGGTGCCCTTTCGCGGACATGGTTTCAGTGAGGCGCCCGCGGCTTTTGAAAACAGGCGCAGGTGGGCGAAGGGAAGGGCGAGGGATGCAGCCAGGGTGGGAAAGGAGGGGACTCTCACCTTCTCCACGTAGTCGGGCACCTCCTCCACCGCTCGGAAGGAGCTCTCTCCGGGCGCCAGCGCGTAGAAGAGGGCGCGGAGCTGCTGGCCCGGCGCGGTGCCCCGCGGCCCGCCCGCCTCAGCGCCCATGGCCAGGCCGCGCTGCGCCCGCCGCGCTCCGCTCCCGGGCCGGCGCGCACCGCCCGCCCCCGCCCGCCCCGCCGCGACCTCGCCTCGCCACCCCGTGGGCCCGAGGGCTTAAGGGCTGCCTTGCAGAAAGCTCACAATTTCTACTGCCCCGGCATCGTGCTGGTTCGGAGCTTCGCTTGGGTTTGGGGGCTCTTTTTTCTGCACGTGTCATCGCTGCCTGGCCCGCTGCTGGCAGCTGGGAGAAAGCTCTCGCGCGCCCCAGCTCCCTCCTCACCCTCAAAAGTCTCAGAACCTCAAAAATCCGCAGAGCTCAAGTCACCCTTTCTCAGTTTTAGACAGAACTCTACACAAAAATATAAACTATTGCTCAGGTTTGGAGTTCCATTGAAATAAAATGTTGAGGATTTTGAGAAACAAGCCAAGGTGTGCTCGGAGCCTCCTCTTCAGCCGTATGGGTTAGTCCAGAATTCTTCCAATTAAAAGCTTTTTTTTATTAGGACTTGTCATGGCTCCATTTTATATAGGTTCCATTAACATCACTGCATTGAAGGTAGCCTCTGGAAGCCATCGATTATGCTTTCATTTATGAAGGAATGAAAACTAAGGAAATAGAAATGGTGAAAAGAGATACATGTAGATCCTTTTAGAAAATTACTTTCAGAAATGCAAGTAAGGACAGGCTTTGTGCATTCAAGACCTTTGGTCTGAAGCTCAGGAGCATGTCAAATGTTTGTCAATCGTGCTTGATATTTGGTGTTAGTACAAATAATAACATTTCTGATGAAATGGATTAGCCAACAATAAAATAACACAATGTCTCAACAAACCCTTCATCTCAAATGCACAGTTCCACTAACAGTCTTTGCAGAAGAAATGAACTGCAAATCCTGTTGTAAAAGATTTTACCACAATTTAAATTCTGACAGTTATTAAAAAAGGTTTTTACTTTGCATCAGCCTTTAGTTTTGGAAAGGAACTATGCCGGGTAATTTCAGCTGAAATTTCTGTTTAGGAAAAGTGCAATGCAAAGAAATTGACATTTAAAAAACTGAAGTATTACACATTTGTGATGTTTGTATTAAATAAGTTTCCATTTAAGCAACAGCATGGAAGATCAACTTAAACATTTTGCAGTTTGAATAAAATATTTTGCAATATTGCAATATAATGTTGCAATACTGTAGAGAATGGCTGTCAGGAAATTACTGGAAATACTAATAAAATATTTGACTTTTAACTGAACAAACCAAAAGTATTGTAAAAGGGCATTGATGATGAAATAGAGTTGGACACCCTCTTAATATGTATAGTTTGTACAAATACTATAAGTAAAAAAGCTATTAAATTTATTTAAGTGCTTTAGAATTGTATCCTAGTGTTCTCAATTTCATTGATGATTTATGATAACCTGAAATTCTTATAAAACTCTAGTTGTTAAATTCTAAAATCTGAGTTAATCTAAATAACAATTGCAAATTTACTTAAAATCACACAAATCAACAGCATTTCGACTAGATCTTCATGGCAGGCAATGACAGAAAACATTTACTTTTTCATTTAGATTAGCCTCAATATTTCTGTGACATTACTCTCATGTTCAAGCTCCTTTAACTCAGCCTCACCTCAGCCGTACCATCTCACTCAGACACCTTCCTTGGTCTTGTGCTGGTGTTCATCTTGTTTTATCATCAGCTTTCAGAGTTAAAATGGCCTACACTTAATCCCACAAAAATTGCTATCAGTGAACTGGGGACCATTCTGGGCTAAGAATGTTTAGCAGGACAAGGGAGTCCGTGGCCACACAAGGTGGGATAGATTTTAAGTACCATGGAACCACTACATCATATTACACCAATCTGGGAAAGAAGACAGTCCATCAAGGACTTTCTACTTTCTTAAAGATTATTTTGGACCCCTGTGTCATTGTAAATTGTCACCTCAATATGACTGTACTGAAGCTCTTGTTTTCAAACAGGAAGGATAGAAATTGGGCTTGATCATACTTCAAACGGGAAGATAATGGATTGTGTTTTCCAGCTTCCCTGTCCTAGAAGAAATAGGAGATAGCACTACAATATCTGCATTTGTGGTGAGGGAAACAGTTTGAAATCTTGTCTGGAGCATTTATGAATGTTTTGCAAGCTTCAGTGGTCTGGCTCTGCCAATGTAGCTGCTATTGTCTACTTGTGCCTTGAAACTTAGCATGCAGTTTTCAATGTTCCTTCTTTCTGATGTTAAGAAAGTAATGGAAAATAAAGGAATATTGTTTCATTGGAGGTATAAGCCTCTGCCACACAATGTCCCTGTGAGTTAATTTTTTTTATGACTTTATTTTCCTCTTCACAATAAAATCAACAAACAGAAAAGTTAATATTTCCCATCCTACACTGCCATCAAAAATGCAGGAGGATGTTCCTTATGGAGACTGGGATCCTGCTGTTGACTAGTAGATAGTTCCAGTAACTAAGGCAACAAAGGCCTCTGTTCTGCTTAGAGGAAATTGGGGAGCTGGCCTAACATGATCTGTAGGTGGATCATATTTTGTTTTCTCTAAAGAACTTCATCCCACCCACTTCTTGAACAGAGAACGCCCAGAGTCTTCCTGTTTAGGTCTCTCTAAGCAGTAAAACAGCACTAAATAATAAAGTCATAAAGGGAATTAGGGCAGGTTGAAATTGGGATGGGCCATATAGTCTGCCTTGGCAGTCATTCACAGTAAACTAAATCATATCCAGAACCTAGCTGTGCTTAGTATGCTCTGTTTATGTAGTAGTATCTGCGAATAGAAGAACTTTAAAGAGTACACTTTAAATGAGTGCACAAGTAGATGTCAGAATTTTTGTATCACCACTCCAAGTATACAGCACCTACATTCATGCTTTGCAGGGGATGTCATCACAGAAGCACTAAATATAACAGCGTTATTATAAAACTGGTATTATAAAATATTTTCAGTGCTGCCTTTCCATTGATAAACCCTACATCACATTAAAAAAACCCCTACCATTAAAAAAAAGTCAAATGTTTATTTGCTTCTATTATAAGCTATATATATATATATATCAATGCACAAGTCTTAGTAAGAGCTAATGGCTCCAGAGACCCACAGATAGAGGTGTTCTTGAATATTAATCAATTTTGTGCCATGCATTTTGCAGTTTACTGCTAACTTTCCATTTCTTCTACACAGAAATAGTAGCCATAGAACAGGGAGCAGTCATCAGGATACTCAAGCAGGCTGAAGAATAAGGCAGACACTATTTTGGGGTATTTTTGTAATATTTTCCATCATTGTATGCACTTGAAATAATTTAACCTTTTGTTCTAACTGAGGAAAAATGTGTTTTAGTTTTTTTGTGTGAGAGGGAATGGGACAGGAGTTACTGGAAAAATAAATTCCATCTTCAAGGCAGACTTATCAAGGAAGTAACTTTAGAAGAACAGCCTGCCCACCTGTTGTGAATGTTTCCAAATTTTATCTGGCATGCTCTGCTGTGAAATTTCTTGCACTTTTATTTCTGAAAAACTTAGTTTAATTTTTTAGAAACAACAGGGTTCAGGCTGCTGTTTGCTGCATAATGCAAATCAGCATTATGTAACTTACAGATATCTTATACATCAAGATCATTTTATTAGATATGTTATAGCCTATTTAATAGCACTTTGTGTCACGTGCCCAGTGATTGTTATTGTTTGTTATCACCAAAACAGTCTCATTTTTGAATTAGGAACGGATGAATATCAACACTAGGTAGATCCAAAATTATAAAACATGAGAGGCACTCATGGGATTATAGCACATGCTACCACTTTAGTCCCTGTGCACGGGTAGGAATCATTTGAATTATTTCTGAGGAAGCATAGAAATTACAATTTTTCAAGCAAGGCTATCCAAAATGTTGATTCTTTTCTGTTTTGTTTTTAAAAAGAACAGTCATAGAGAATTATGAAGAGTATGCCTGCGTACATGAACTTCAACAGAAAGACTTTTGTCTGTTAACACTGGACATTTTTTAAAAATCTACTCTAGTATCAGCAGCAGATGTACTTTATCAATGTCATTGTGTAATATTTTAAAGCTTGAGACCTTCAAGAATAATTTGGCTTTAAATCAGCTATTTTTCTTTACTATAAGGAACACAGAATAATTTTTCTTTCCTAGGAAAACCACATAGCTTCTACTTCTTTCTAGCCTGCAAATCCCTAGTCCTTGAAAAACAGATTGTTTTCTGTGGATGACTCCTTTAAATAAATTACAGTGATTTATAAATGCTGAGTGCAATTAATGTGTTTGAATAAAATAAAAAGACTACAAAGCTTAGCTACCAAAGGCAGTAGAACACTTATGGAAAGGTGGAAATCCCCTTTACTTCCAAGTAATAATTTACCAGGGCCCCTGGCAGACAACAATCCTCCTGTGCCAGTAGGCCTGTACGGAGATGGACAGTGCCAGCTCCCCACCCTCAGCGAGTCCCCAGCCACTGTCCCCTTCCACTCCAGAGCAAACATTCACTTCTGGCCCAGCTGCCTCTGTGCTCCTGTTGTGCAGAGTCTGTTCTCCCTCCTCACCTTTAAGTCAGTGCATCAATTCCACAAATTCAGGTCTGAGGGCAAAGAAAAAGCCTTTCTCCTGCTGCCCAGAGACATAAGCTGACAGCCTTCTCCACTCAGGTCTCCATCCACCACTCGTCCACAAGTAGCCTCTTGCTCCCCTTGATCTGTTTCATGCTGCTGCAGGGACACTGTGAAAAAATTTCCCATCACCTGCCTGTCATCCTTGAAGCCACATGGTCACACACATCCTCCTCCTTCTCCTCTGACCCAGTGCCAAAGCCCACCTCCCACTGTGAGACCACCCCAGGAAGAAATATCAGGTTTTCCCTGCAGCCTAAACCTGAATCAGGATGTGTGTGCTTCACTGCTCCAGTTCTTTTGATACTCCAGGTTATTTATGTGTTACATGTTGAGAACTAAACCTTGCAATATTGTACAATTGCATC